TCGAATGTCAATTAAAATAATAGATTATTATTATTAATATTGCCGTCGTAGGCGGAGTCCTAGACGGAACTAATAACCGTAAGCACACTATATTTAGTATAAATCGGTTTGTCGGTCGGGAATTTTCCTAAATAAAATAAAAAATAACAAATCACATCATCCCAAAGCAGCAAGCCCACTGCTGGACAATAGCTCAGACTCTTACTGACTAAAAACCACCCCGTTCCTACCCCTGCACTTCGAGCCGGCACCCCGGTAATCCGTTGGGTTCTCCGCGGCGCCGAATCGGCATCAGCTCTATTGGGCCCCATCTGTGATGGTTATTTGAGGCGCGCGCGGAACGCAACGCGCCGTACTGTCGAGTCTGGTTTTGGTCGGTCGACAAGCCACCCATGCTCGCCGTCCGCATGCCCGCGCTTACGGTGGCCGGAGATCATCCCGCGATCCCCGACGCCCGTGATGGCTGGGTTGCGATGAGGCAGCGCTTCGCTGCCTCACGCGTCCCGCCTCCTCCTTAACTAGCATGACTGCTTCGCAAAAGGAGGAGACGACATCCTAGTCTCCGCATCTCCGCACTCCGCTCCGCATCAAAACCCGCACAAGGGCCGGACGCGAGAGGTCGCCATCGCCAGCACGGCGGTGCTCAGCCCACGCAGGGCATTCCGCTACTGTCGTTCCACCGTGTCCTCAGGGCAGTCCTCGCAGTGATGACACGTTTTTGCCTGTAACTGAAACTTCTATGTCCGGTGAGGACCAGCTTCAGGCAGTAGATAAAGACGCCGTAGCGTCTCTCAAGCCACTCCTCAAAGAGAGCAATGGCAGCGAGCCCAGCAATTATCACACGTAGGAGACGGTAACAAGAGGGGGTTGAAGTCGGTTTTTAACGTGGTTTATAAAATAATTATTGTTTCTCTCATCGTGTGTTAGTGTTGTCTAAATATAATTTGAATTATATTATCAGTTGAAATAAATCAAATTGCTACTTACTAGCTGGGGTTCAAACCTCTATTGTAGAGATAGATTTAAATGACAATAAAAATAATAGATTATTATTTACATTGCAGTCGTTGGCGGAGCCCTGAACAATACTGGTAACCGTAAGTACACTGTATATAGTATAAATCATATCATCTCATGGCAGCAAGCCCACTTCTGGGTAAAAGCCTCTTCTCGTTTGAAGAAGGCATGAGCATTGCTTACTACGTTTGATCACATGAGTGAGATTTCCAGACCAATCCTCCTTTCCCATGCAAAGACGGGCAACATAATTATATCTCTTCTGGTGTTGGGGGATAATAAGTTTATTATTAACTATATTGCAGTATATTAACAGATTATTATTTATATTGCAGTCGTTGGCGATGCACTGGAAGGAGTTGGCCAAGGTAAGAAATACATACACTGTTTATATTAAAAAAACCGGATATTACTATAGGCGGATAATACTGGGCCTTTGCCTTTACCTCTTTTCACTCGGAGAAGGCATGAGCATTGATCACCACGTTTGTATTTGATCACGTGGGTCAGATTACCTATCCCGTAATAAAGGCGCATTGGTGATTATTATTTCCTCCTTCCTTTTTTTTCTTAAGTTGTTCTATATGTACCATTATGTTGTGTCCTAAATATTCACATTGCTACTAGCCAGGTTTAGAACCCGCACCGTACTATGAGGAAGCGGGCACTATACCTCTGGCCACGAGTATTATAGATTTGAGATTTGAGTGACAATACATTATTATTTATATTGCAGTCGTTGGCGGAGCCCTGGACAATACTGGTACCGGTAAGTACTTACACTATATATTGTACAAATCACATTATCCCAAGGCAGCAAGTCCACTGCTGGGTAAAAGCCTCTTCTCGGTCGAAGAAAGCATGAACATTGCTTAATACGTTTAATCACATGAATGAGATTTCCAGACCAATCGCCCCTTCGCCTGCAAAGACGGGCAACACAATTATAGCTTTTCTGGTGTTGGGGAGTCCAAGTCCATAGGCAGTGCTGATTAGTTTCACTAGTTTGGTTTCAAGCCCGTATCCTAACGCTTAGGAAGCCGGACCTTACTTGTTGTATTGTAAATTTAAATGACAATTATAAGTTTATTATTTACTATATTGCACTA